GAACCCCTGGTACTCACAGAATATCCAGTATTAGAAATATAACAATTTTGTCTATATTTTATAATATTTTAAGCCCACAGCCTTAAAAACAATTTCACAGTTAAGTGATTATCTTTGGTGCATATTTAGTAAATACTTTTAGCAGTTTGAGTCATTCTTTTTGGCCTTTCAGGGAAAGTGGTGAATTACCATCTTATTGTGTGCTAGACAGATCCACCCTTTGCCTAGTGTTAAATCTTGTAAATATATGAAGTGAAAAGTTAATTTTTAAAGAAAATGCATTTTTAAAATGTTCATTTTTAACCTGAATTTGCTTTGAATATTCTTTGATTTGTAATGTTGTTATTTAGGTTATATTGAGATTTATTCCCCTCCAAAGGTGGATAAAGAAAAGTTGTTTAAGAAAACCAATTAGAGTGTATTTTTGTTTCCTTTCTTTCATTACCAAGTGTGGGGCCGTAGACACAAGCTAATCATCTGTCGTTTGAGAGCCACAGATGATTTCAAAGGTCCCAAATATATAAAAATCTGTAACTGCTTTTTTAAAAGACATCTTTAATGGGGCTCTCCAAAAATACAGTTTGGTTGCTTATGAGTGATGCCTTTGACGGGCTGATTAGATTATAAGACAGTTTTGTTTGTTTGTTTTTTGAGACGGAGTCTCGCTCTGTGGCCCAGGCTGGAGTGAGTGGCGCAATCTCAGCTCACTGCAAGCTCCGCCTCCCGGGTTCCCGCCGTTCTCCTGCCTCAGCCTCCCGAGTAGCTGGGACCACAGGCGCCACCACCACGCCCGGCTAATTTTTTGTATTTTTAGTAGAGACGGTTTCACCGTGTTCGCCAGGATGGTCTCCATCTCCTGACCTCGTGATCCTTTCGTCTTGACCTCCCCAAGTGCTGGGATTACAGGCGGGAGCCACCGCGCCCGGCCTTCTTTGTTTTTTTAAACATAGGATCTCAGATCGGGTCTTGTGCATTCTATCTAATCTCAAATGGCAATTCAGTTTGACTTCTTTTAAAACTAAGTGGAAATGGTATCTTTGGTGAAATAAATGAAATAATCTTGCTGGGAAATTCCACACAGCACCCCCGGCAGCATCCTGTCTCAGTTCTGGTGTATAATTCAACCTCCTACTGAGCGTCCCTGTAAATTATTTTTAATATATAGCATGAGAGTGAACTGAGGTAAGTCATTGATGTTTCCCAGAGATGATGAATGAACAGAAACAAATAGGATCTACTAAACATTTTATTCCCATAGTAGTGAGCAGTTTTGTTCTTGTTTTGATAATGTTCATTTCTGCCTACTTTACCATCTTAGGCTTCAAATACTCCTTTAAGAAAGCCCAAGATATATTGAGTAGTGGAACTTCTTATTTGTACACCTGTTTATAACTGCACTGCCCTGGATGTTACGGTTATTTCTAAGGACTTACCTGGTAAAGCTAGTTGAACTGGTAGACTGCAGGGTAGAGGCAGACCTAGATTCAATCTCTAACTAAGCTACATAGGGCTTACATTAATTTCCACAGGTCTGTTATCCATACCATGAGCTTATAAGTGTTCCAAAGAAAAAATTTAAAAGTGATGGATAAAATACAATAGTAGATGTTCAATAAATTCCATTGTATTTAAAGATGATTTCTGAAAACACATTTCATTTTATTAGATAAATGTATCGTAACACTAAGTCTGATACCTAATAGTCAATTGCTTTTAAATACATGCTGTAATATCTTCATATGATACTACATTGTAGCCCTAGCCACAACCACCCTAGGGATATTGGGGTAGAATTCACCATATTTATTTACTGTATCTTTTTTTTAATGAGAAAATGGATCTATTTATGTCAACTATCTTAGTCTGTTCTATTTAAGTCAACTATCTTAGTCTGTTTGGTCCTGTTACAATACCTGAGACTAAAGAACAGAAACTTATTCTGTCATTTCTGGAGGCTGCCCTTCGCCTTCCATCATGTGGAAGAGGCAAGAAAGCCGTCACCGGATACTGGCAAGAGAGAATCAACTCCCTCCTTCAAGCCCCTTTGTAATGGGACCTAATTTCATTCATTAGGGAGGAACTCTCTTGGCCTAATCACCTCTTAAAAGCCTCACCTCTTCATACTGGCACATTGGCAACAATTGAGTGTTGCAAGGGAGCTATTCAAACCACAGCAACAAGGATTTTATTTTCTGCTGAATATGCACCTATTATTTCTACAACAATGAAAAAATCCTAACAGTGATTCCCAAAGTGAGTTTCATGCATTAGTAATTCTTAAAAATAATTATTAAATATGTTTTGATACAACGGGTTTCTTCAGTGCATTAAGTTGAAGGCTTTAATACATTAATGCCTATTGTGAAATTCAGAAGAAGAGTTTAACCACATTTTCCTGATTTTTACTTTATACAGTCTTTTCTCAAAGTACCTTATAGGACTAGAAATCTAAGCAATATCCTTTGCAACATGCTTAGGATAATTTGAATAACTGTGATAAAGCACTCAATGGAAGAAAAACACGTGAATCTGTTTTTGTAATTACAGGCAATTTGTTTGTTGTTGTTTTAAGAAAAACTGAGTCTGGTGTGGTTTTAGGTTTTTTTTGAGACAGACTTCCTCTGTCACCCAGGCTGGAGTGCAGTGGCATGATCTTGACTCACTGCAACCTCCACCTTGCAGGTGTAAGCGATTCTCCTGCCTCAGCCTCCCAAGTAGCTGGAAATACAGGTGTGTGCCATCACACCCGGCTAATTTTTGTATTTTTAGTAGAGATGGAGTTTCGCCATGTTGACCAGGTTGGTCTCAAACTCCTGACCTCAGGTAATCTGCCCACCTCGGCCTCCTAAAGTGCTGGGATTACTGGCGTAAGCCCTGCACCTGGCCCCGAGTCTGGTTTACTTTCTTTTTTGCACCATTTCTGAAGAGAAGCAATATGAACAAAAATCACTGGTGAATACACAAAAGGAATAATTCCTGAATTAAAATTGAAGACATCCTTCATGTCCAATTTAACTGGACAAGTAATTTTCCCTTTAATGAGACTGTACTCCTTTAATATTTTACATGTTTATGATTTGCAAAAACCATTAAATTACAGTGCACAGGTTTCACCAGGAAAATATTAATCTTACTGTATTACTGTCATGCTGTCTGAGCAATGAGGTCTAGTGAAGGTATAAAAAACTCTTTGACATCTACGGTCACTTTAATAGTAAAAATAGTATATAGTAAAATACATGAAGGTAACGTCATATGCTATTAAAGCAATGTCAGCTTTGAAAGAAAATGATCTACTGTTTCAGACTCGACTGAATGTAAACTTCTGTTGAAAGTAGTTATAAGCTGAGGCAGTCTCTTGTTTATTGAACACCACCTCCATAAAAAATGCACTCATAAAAGTTGGTTATTGTTTCTCAGTTTGTGTTAATGTCCTTTTTTTTTTTGAGACAGAGTCTCACTTTGTTGCCCAGGCTGGAGTGCAGTGGCACGATGTCTGCTCACTGCAAGCTCCGCCTCCCGGGTTCACGCCATCCTCCTGCCTCAGCCTCCTGAGTAGCTGGGACTACAGGCACCGCTACCACGCCTGGCTAATTTTTTTATATTTTTAGTAGAGATGGGGTTTCACCGTGTTTGCCACGATGGTCTCGATCTCCTGACCTCATGATCCGCCCGCCTCAGCCTCCCAGAGTGCTGGGATTACAGGCGTGAGCCACCGTGCCCAGCTGTGTTAATTTCTTTTAGTTTTTTTTTTTTTTTTAACATATTTTCTTCCTGTTCCTTTTCCAGAATACACCTGATCTTGAAATATTTGGTTAATAGACTTGTCATCAATTCAAAACAAAGTCAAAATGTAGCATGGGTTATTATAAACTGGAAATAGTTCTTAAAATGGAAATTACGGTACATCCAAAGTTATAAACCTAGTGTTTCATGAACTACTTACTGAATAGCATCATTTGCCAGCTGAACAGTTTATATCCTTACCTTATACCAGAAAGGATTTTCACATTGCTCAGCAGAATATATAAAATTCAGCAAGATCATGAAATTGGTAAAGAAAATGGAGGAAAGGGAGGTAGGAGCATAATATAGATTGATTTCTTGGGGAATTGAAAACAAATACTTTGTATCACTTATAATTTGGTAACTGCTAAAACGTAAGGGAACCTTTTAATAATCAGTGCTTGTATGTGCCAGATAATTAAGGTGTTGTTGACGAAAATCGTACGTACTTACGGTGCTAGATGTCTAAATATATATATTGATCAACGGACTCAACACTGAAGACCCTGAAAGACTAACGAGTTTTAAAGGTTCCCCTCCCCGCACCGCCAATCCCTTAAATTTTACCAAAGCCTCAATTTGATATCAACATTTAAAGTCAACGATTTGATTAAAAGACTGAGCAATCGACCAATGAAGCCTTGACTTTGAAAACCTACGTGACTCAGTGCAAAACAGTGGGTTTAACTTTAATTAGGATCTTAATTCCTTTTTTTTTTTTTTTTTTTAGGCGGAGCCTTGCTCTGTCGCCCAGGCTGGAGTAGCTGCGGCGTGATCTCGGCTCAGTGTGGCTTCTGCCTCCCGGGTTCCAGCGAGTCTCCCGCCTCAGCCTCCTGGGTAGCTGGGATTAAGGCGCACGCCGCCACGCCCAGCTAAGTTTTGTATTTTTAGTAGAGAGGAGGTTTCACCATGTTGGTGAGGCTGGTCTCGAACTCCTGACCTCAGGTGATCCGCCCGCCTCGGCCTCCCAAAGTGTTGGGATTACAGGCGTGAGCCACCGCGCCCTGTGAGGGCCTTAAATATCTCTTGCCACCATTCTTGGAGGCAGCTGATGAGACAAGTGAAGGAACGACTCCAGGATGGAGACAACCCCCAGGATTGTAAACGCGAGATTGAGACGCTGCCGGGAGATGGCCTGTCTTGCGCAAGCGCCTGGGCGGGAGGGTCTGCGCCTGCGCGAGCGCGACTCTGGCCAGCCCCTCCCACTGCCCACGGAGAGTCTGGGCGACTGCGCACGCGCGGCTGGTGAGTGGCGGGTTCCGGCGCAGCTGTGGGGCTGGCTGCGCGCCGCTGAGGGGTTTTGGACTGGGTTAGGTGCGTTTGGTGTATGTGTTTCTCACCTTTTTTCCAGGGCGGTGGTAGCGGAAGAGTTTAGTTAGCGGTGGCTGGCGGATGCCTGAGGGAAGGAGCTGGCGCCGGCCTGAGAATGGGTCGTGGTTGCTGGTTGGGCGCGGTCGGGCCTCGTGTCCGGGTCGCTGAAGGGGCCGCGTCCTGGGCCGCGCACGTTGGCTCCCGGGCCTCAGGCGGCCTTGGTGCTGAGGGGGACGTGAACCCTTAGGCTGCGGCAGCGCGTGGAGGCCCTCCTTCCGCGTAGAAACAGGACTCGGCCTGCGGTCCTTTCCATCTTTGCTCTCAGAAGTTCGCGGAGGGATTTGGCGAAATACCCGACCAGGCTTGACTGTCCGCTCCTGGACGGCGGGCCCTGTCGCCGGGGCTTCTGAGGCGGGCACCCTGCCGGGTGCGGGGGCTGCGAGGTGGAGTAGACTAAGACGAGGGCGGCTTTACTGCGAAACGGCTTCACTGCTGCTGCCTTTACTCCGAAGCCAGTAGCTTCGGAGGTGCAGAAGAAGCGCTGGGACGATCCTGGAGGGAGCCACGTGTCAGACAGGAAGGCCTTGCTGATGGGGGTTGTGGTTACACGCGGTGTACATCACAACGTCGCACTGCACACCTACGACCTGCATTTCACTGTAAGCGTTACCTCCTTTTTAAAGTTAATTTAAAAACAGGATAAATGGAATTCTGGAAAGCGATACGGAAGGAACTGTTTGAGGCAGGGGGACTCAAAGATGAAAAGAGAATGAAAACCTTTGGCCCTTTTCTGGACATACATTGGATTAAGGGTAGAATCATACAGCAATCTATAAAAAGTATTTGGAGAATATCTAGGCCTTACCCATTCGTAGAGGGAGTCTCGCTCTCCTGCGGTTTACTGGAGTCTGGGATGGCTCCTAGGTTAATGCTTTTTCCGCTGTCTTAACCTAATTTCACACAAGAATGAATGTGGAAATTATAGTATGGTGGTTTTGCCCTAAGTAAATTTGGTAACATGGAAATTGAGTGATTTTATACAAAAAGAGACTAACCACAGCCCATGAGAAGCCGGCTAATCCCTGCTTACGCTGCAAGCCAACGTGTCCGACCCTTTGGTCAGGCTGTTCCATTCTTCTGAAATCCTCACTCTTCATCCTTACCTTTCCTTCAGGTCGAGTTGAAACTCCACCTGCTCTTTCACTCCTCTCCCCACTCAGGCCCTCCACTCTGATCCCAGGGCGTGAATGGTGCTTCTCTATAGAGGGCGTCCACCTTACCGTTGGTGTTCGCCATGTGTCTGCCTAACCTAGAATTTTTCGGCTGCAGCTTGTGGGGTGGGATACTTCTTTGATGTGGAGGGCTGTCTTGTGAATTTTAAGTTCGGCAACCTCTACCCACCGGATGCCAGTGGCACCCTCCTTCCCATTTATGGCAACCAAAAATGTCTCCAGGCATTGCCAGATGTTCCCCTTAGCGACAAAAGGGCTCCTCGTTCTGTGAGAACTGCTGATCTAGAGTCTGAGCCACATAAGGTCCAAGGTCAGTTTAATAATAATATAATTTCAATATAATCCATAGGTACAAATTTCAAAATATAAAGAAAAATTTTTTTACTGCCACTTGTGGTGCAGGACCACCCCATAGAGAGTGTGCCCAGAGTAGCCAGAAAAAATTTAAAGATAATAATATAACAGTACTTCCCAACTCTTTTGGATCATAAACCCCCTTAGAAATTTTAAAAATAATAAAGCTATAATGAGATAGTGATTTAAAAAATGTTAAAAATAGGTTAATTTTTTTTTTTTGAAATGAAGTTTCTTGTGACTCAGGCTGGAGTGCAATGGCGAGATCTCAGCTGACTGTAGCCTCCATCTCCCGGGTTCAAGCGATTCTCCTGCCTCAGCCTCCTGAGTAGGTGGGACTATAGGCGGCTGCCACCACGCCTCACTAGTTTTTGTATTTTTAGTAGAGATGGGTTTCACGATGTTGGCCAGGCTGATACCGAATTCTTTACCTCAGGTGATATGCCCGCCTCAGCCTCCCAAAGTGCTTGGATTTATAGGCGTGAGCCACTGCTCCCGGCCATTTCATTTAATCTTTGATGTTTATCTTGCTAACCGATTTCAGTTTTCCTCATTAGAAGTGATGCACTTTTGAACTCACTTTAACAATGTAGGAAACATTCTACGACTCTTAAAATTGCAGCCCCCTATGCTCTCCATGTGTTCCTCTGTTAATCTTACTGTTATCTAACATTTATTTCATACGTATTGTTTTAGTCTGTCTTCCTCTCGAATGTAAGCACCAAGAGAATAAGGACTTTGAGACTTACCACCTAGAACAAACAGTGCTTCCTACATGGTAGAAAATGATTATCAAAGGAATGGATTTAATACACTTCAAACTTTTATTTTGGGATCAAATTCTTACATAGATTGGAACTTAATTGCCTTTTACAGCTATGAAAGTAGACAGTTTTATTAAATTGCTCTTTGGAATTCCTTGTTTTGCACTTAAAGTCAACTGATTCCTTTTTGGTTTTCATGTTTTATTTCTAAGTGATTAACAAGTTACAGGCTGTAATTTAAAAGCCCTTCTTCGATGGCCGGGCACAGTGGCTTGCGCCTATAATCCCAGCACTTTGGGAGGCCGCGGGGGGTGGATCACGAGGTCAGGAGATCAGACCATCCTGGCTAACATGGTGAAACCCCATCTCTACTAAAAATACAAAAAATTAGCCAGGCATGGTGGCGGGCGTGTGTAGTCCCAGCTGCTGGGGAGGCTGAGGCAGGAGAATGGCATGAACCCGGGAGGCGGAGCTTGCAGTGAGCTGAGATCGCACCACTGCACTCCAGCCTGGGCAACAGCAGGAGACTCTGGTAATAAAAGCCCTTCTTCAGTGGTGCAGCTGTGGAAAGTACTAATAAAAATGGAATTGGCTGGGCATGATGGCTCATGCTGGTAATCCTAGCACTTTGGGAGAACAAGATGGGTGGATCACTTGACTCCAGGAGTTCAGGACCAGCCTGGGCAACATGAGGAGACCCCTGTCTCTACAAAAATTAGCTGGGCGTGGTGGTGTGCACCTGTAGTCGCAGCTACTCAGGAGGCTGAGATGGGAGAATTGCTTGAGCTGGGGAATTTGAGGCTGCAGTGAGCCATGATCACACCACTGCACTCCAGCCTGGGCAACAGAGTGAAACCCTGTCTCAAAAAAATATATATATATATATTTCTATGTCAAAGATAAATATATATGCATATGTGTGTATGTATGTGTCTGCATATGTATATGGACACACTCATACACACAAACACACTTATTTTTCTTTCAGTTCTAGGCAGTATTGTGGTGCAGCCTTTTTTAGGAACTTGTACTCTTCAATTTTGCCAGGCAACATTGGCTTTTAATAGTTCCCTGATTTTTTTTTCCTGTATGAACTCACAATTCTGAAATACCAAATTGAAACCTTTTAGTTGTTTGAAGATCATTTTGCCGTGTTTTCTCAGTTCAGCATGCGCACAAGATAATCTTTGGAATTTTTACTTGGAAATATTCCAGCCTGTTGGGTCCTCGTATGCTTTCCTGAAAATGTGTTCTTTGTGCTTATTGCAGTAAACTAGAACTATTCATTTCAAGTATTCATACCATTCTTTGGTGGGACTTCTATAGACAACCCCATGTTGAGTGAAATTATTTTTAGTTCTAAGTATAAAAACCTTAAAAGTAGATAATCCATCACTATTCAGCTTATAAAACTGAACACTATACCCATTCAACCCTAGTCTCCCCTCCCCCGAACCCCTAGCAACCACAATTCTACTTTCTGTCTCTGTGATTTTGACAACTCTAGGTACTTAATATAAATGGAGTTACGCAGTATTTTTTTAAATGACTGGCTTATTTCACTCAGCATAATGTCCTGAAGGTTTATCTATATTGTAGCATATATCAGAATTTCCTTCTTTTCCAAAGGAATCATATTCCATTGTATGTGTATATTTCATTTTCCTATATTCATGCTTGCTGATTCTCTTTTGCCTGCTTAAAACTGCTTTTAATTCCTCTAGTGAGTTTTTCATTTCATTGTTGTACTTTTCAGCTCCAGAATTTCTAGTCTCCTTTTGTTTTCTGTCTCTATTTATATTTCCAATTTTGTTCATATGTCATTTTCCTCACTTACTCTACACCTTTCTTTAGTTATCTGAGAAACTTTAAGATAGTTATTTTAAAGTCTTTGTCTATGAGGCCAACCATCTAGTCTTTCTCAGGGATGGTTTCTCTTGATTTATTTTTTTCCTTTGAATGGGCTGTACTTTCCTATTTCTTTGTGTGCCTTCTAATTTTTATGTTGAAAATTAGGCATTTGAATAATAATGTGATAACTCTGGAAGCCATTGTGTTTGAATGTCTCAGTCCTTAGATGTCTGGCTTCCCGAAAGGGTAAAAAAGAAAAGTAAAAGCATGGGGGAAAGGTGCTGGCACTTTAAATCTGCTGGAAGTCACTTTAGCCAGAGGGAGAGGGGCTTGCAACAATGACCGCCACCTGTGTCTTTGGCTTTCTTATTGGAAGCAGCAAAGGTAGTCAGAACAGATTATTCCAATGTTTGAAAGACAGGTATTTCCTGTAAGTTTTATGCAAGGTGTTCCTCAGTGTGTGCATAGCCAAGCTGCTCCTGGAACTATTCTGTGTTTAGATTTTGTGTTTGCCTGTTTGGCATGTATTAATTACAGGGATAAACTAAAGGCTAAAATTGTTTACATCATCCTTTTAAGCCCTCTCTTGTGGGTGCACAAACCTCATATCACAGACTTCCTGGTGACAACCATAGAATGCCTGTTTTTGCTTTATGCCCTATAGGGGATGTCCCCACCTAGATCCTTCCCACTTACTTAGCAATAAAGGCATAGTCTCAGGTCCTTTCTCTGCTTTGTGGTCTCTGCTCGTGACAGTTTCACGTGGCCCCCTGTGGCATGCCATGACCCTCATTTCTGGGGAGAATTGTAACATTAAACTTTCTTTTCAATGGCATTGATCTCTCCATGTCCTCTCTGTCACCTTTATAAATTAAGACTTAAAACAAGAGTGCATGCATAGCTGCTTGTCAGGGGGCTGGAGGGTGAGAATGGGTAGCTGCTGCTGATCAGAGAGCTGAAATTCGCTGAAATTAACCACTATTTACAATCTTAGCCTTCCAATAGACCCTTCAAAAGATTGAGGTGTCCAGTCTTTTGGCTTCCCTGGGCCACATTGGAATAAGAATTGTCTTGGGCCACACATAAAATACACTAATAGCTGAGAATCTGGGTAGGCCAAGATGGTTAGAGTGCAAGGCTGAGTACCAAAGAGAACAGAGAAAGAACTCCAGGTATCTGCAAAGGGACCTCCTTGAGAAACTACTGGAAGATACGGAAATAAACATCTGAAAAGATTTGAAGGAACAGTACCTGACTCATTCAAGACCAAGAATAGTGTTTTTTTCTACCAGCTGGACTGGAAAACCTCATAATTTATGGGGCATTGGATAGAGTACTTCAAAGGGTTTTGCCTCAGTAATGGGGTGTAATCAGTCTAGACTAAGTGCTGCTCTGCTCTTGTCTAACAGTCTTAAAAATGAGACCTGAAAGGATCAAATTGTTTCCAAGTAACTAAAC